AGTTACAGGGGTGCGAACCCTTTACACTGAGGAGGGGGGTGGCTTATATAGAGTTCGCCAGACCCCTCCAGACCTCAGTTATGCAGGGTTTAAAGTACATTAAGACAGGGGGTTACTGATAACTCCCTCATAAAGTGCCATGAAGACTATTAAAGCTACCTAATGACAGACCGTTGCGTGCTGAGTGACTTTAGGTCTCCTAGCAGTCGAGTGGTTAGCTTCATGGTCGAGTGGCTATCTTCATCGTCGAGTGTCCTTGAGTTCGTCGAGTGGAGTCCCTCTTGGTCGACTGGAAGGTAGCTTCTTCTAAGGATGTCTTTGGGTAGGGTATCCTAGATAGGTCCATGACCCTACCCTAGGTACATGACTTCATCACCGGGTCCGCTGCGCGCTTCGATCCGCGGGGTCGTGGCGCGACGCTGTCCTTGCCATGCGGGCGGCTCGACGTCGCACCATGCGAGGACCCGGCTCCGCACGCGTCACCGCCTCCCCCTCCCAACTCCGCTACACCAAGCAACCGGCGTCAGCGACGCCTTCACCGCGACATGAGCAACAATTCAAGACAAAATGAAGAAGAGAAAGACTCGAAGCTTACCGGCTTGGCGTGCAGCGCCGGCGTCGGACTCAGCCACCTCCTCACCGCCTTGGGCCGCGGGCTCCTCTGGTGCCACCGGTGCCACCTGCAGCAGAGCCCGGGCGTAAGGATACCGACTCGCATTCAGGAGAACCTCCCGTGACGCATCGGGACGAACAACAAGATGTGTGGCGGCAAAGTAAGGAGACGAGATGCTCACCTGCGGCACCGGGTTCTCCTGGCTATACGGCACCTTGCCGAATCGCCAATCCTCTCCAAGATTGGCCTTGGAGATGGCGTTGACGGCGCGCGCGGTCTACTCCCCCAGACAGCCACGTCGACCCCATTCGGTTGGGGTCCTGCAGGCCGATCATCTCGCCGGCGGGTGATGAACGCGGCAAGAAGGTCCGTGCCGGTGAGCCCCTCCTGCGTCCTCATCACCATCACCCACTCGCAGAGGTTGACGATCTCCTGTGACGGGCGATGGGGCGAGTAGCCCCAGTTTGTCTTCACCCGTGGCGGCGCGATGCCGAAAGGGGGAAGATTGGTGTGGTCCGCGCCAAGATTACGGACGTAGAAGAAGGAATTCTGCCACTTCTTTGCAGAATCCTCGAGCGGAATCTTGGGGAAATCTGCCCCCGACCGCTTGGAAATGACGGCGGCGCCGCAGTCGGCAAACTCCTCGACCGACAGGCCCTGCTGCTTCAAGGAGAAGAAGCGCGCCCAGAGGTCGATCATCGGCTCGACCCCCAGGTACCCCTCGCACAGGGTCACGAAGCCGGAGAGTTGGACGATGGCGCCGGCGCCGAGATGGTGCGGTTGAAGCCCAAAGAACTCCAGGAAGGCGCGGAAGAAGGTGCTCGCCGGCAGCCCAAGCCCGCGCTCGAAGTGTGTAAGGAAGACGACGCGCTCCTGCCCCTCGGGTCAGGGCCTCTGCTCGCCGCGCGAAAAGCGGACACCAACGTCTGTCTCCCGCGGCAGGCGTTGCAAAGCTCGAAGCTGCGTGATGTCGTCGTTGGTGACGTTGGAGCCCATCCAATAGCCCGACGGCAGCGCCATGGATGGAAGCGGAAGGAAGAAGGACGACGAAGAAGAGCTCTGCTCGGGGCTGCGGGCGCGGCTGTGCGTCAGTCGCAAGGAGCAGAGCGAGAGCAGGGGGACAGGAGGGCGCGAGCGAGAATAATGCCCGCCGCCCCCTTGCCCCCCTCAATTTATAAGCCCCGGTTCAAACGTGGGGAAGTGGGATCGTCTGCACATGCCCATTCCACTACCCCACAATAAGTGCACACGTACACACGCACTAACTGCGTGGGGAAGTGCAACCGGCCCCCAGACGCTGCAATAAATTTGCACGCGTGGCCAAGGACACGCGGCAGTGGGCCCCCGGCCCGTCGCCCAGTCCCGTCACGCGCGTGGCCTGTCAGGCCCCTCCGGCTTCCGGGCACCACGTGGCGCCAACGCGAAGCCCGAGGGATCGCCTCAAGATTCGACGGACTCCTCGGTTCCCGCCACGGCCGGGATGCCGCGATCCGGTTTTCGAAAAAACCGACACACAGTGGGTGTTGCCGGACCCGGCGTTCGCAGATTCCGCCTTGCTCAAGGGGGAAGATGCGAAGGCCCACTCATCCCAAGACGGCGGACCTTCACAGCTTCCGGGACTACTGTCGGGGGGATGAACCCCAGGCAGGCAACGGAACCCGGATCTATTTCAAAAACAGTGGGGCCCGCATCGCCCCGCAAAACCGGCGTGCGCCAGGCCGGGTCGCTCGACCCGGCAAGGCGCGCAACCCGGCAAAGAACCTCGACTCGGCAATGTACGTCAACCCGGCAGCAGCGGCTGGCGCAAGGCAACTCAACCCGCCGCAACCTTGGCTTCCCCAGCAAGCCAACCCACCCGTGGCGTACATGGCAACCCAGCCACGGGTCAGCTCCTGTCCCATCCGGGCCGTACGATGGGACGAGACCTCAATCACTGATGACCAAGACTACAGTGCCCCCGCCCATGCCCGTGGTCAGCGAGAGCATGGCAACAGTGCCCCTTACCTACCCGCTGACCAGGGCTGGCACGGCAACAGTGTTCCCGCCCTCACCGCTGACGACAGCAAGCGGCGGCCTGACGGAGAACACTGTGCGCGGCTTGACTCGGCCATGCCATGACGATCGACAAGACGGCGCACAGTCCCCCTAGGCACGCGGGTCCCGCACCTAGGGAACCCGGCGAACCACAAGCCCCCAAGCGGGACCCAGCCCGGTACCCCGGACGCCGACAATACGGACCCACCGACTCGGCATATTACCATTGTAACCCTGGGTGGGTTGATCTATAAAACGCCCCAGGAGTCCACGCCTACAGGGAGCGGCGAGAGCAGCAGAGAGATTGCGAGAATGAGCATTGCATGAACACGAGATAGAACAAGCAAGATAGGACTAGCCACTATATAGCAACACCGAGGAGAAGGAGTAGCCGGAGCCTTGGCCAGCTTCCTTCCTCCTCCGAACAGCTCCAGGAGCGACATTGTACTATCAGCCATCCAACTAAACTCGGCAGGACTAGGGGTGTTATCTCTCCGGAGAGCCCCGAACCTGGGTATGTCCGGCGTCCCGCGCCCGCGCATATCAACCTCGCCTGCGAAGCCCACCAGCGCCCTCGAGCCTCCTTCTCTCTTTAGCCATCCCTTGACATCTGTCGTGCGCCCACCACGACAAAGCCACATCGCTATAGCAAGCGGTGTGAATGGATAAAACATGATTTTCTTTTGCATGGTAATATGTGTCACATTTACATCATAATGATCGTAGTACAAGCCTCGTAAACACCGACATGATAAAATTGAAAAGAAAGCAAAACGCTAGCCTTTGCACAAAGGAAACCAGCCCAGAAGAAAATTTTCAATCAAGTCCAAAGAATCCTTTGAGCTTGACACCAACACCCGTCACCTGCCTTGTTAACACCACCGCGAATGTCACACTTCTGCTACCATCTGCGATGAACTGATCACAGACTACTCCACGGACACCACCACTCCGGGTGGAGCCTCGGCCACTGTTCGATAGGTCGCTTCCACTGGCCCAACATGACAGTGCGCTGGACAATCATCCACACAGCATATGAAGCTAGCTGTATATGCTGTCCCTGCTGACACCAGTACTGGAGCGTCACTACTCCTTGTCCAACCTATGTATGCTTTTCCTGCCATGTCTGCTCCGCATGCACCATTGCACCCACGATCGATCAAAGCCAAGCTTTGTGAGAGCGCAGACCAACGATGGATGACATGACGCCCGGCCGGCACATCCATCACGAGACTGGTTCTCAAATCCATCACCGACATAAGACGTTCGCCTCACCAGAGAAGAATCTGAAGCTTCTTTATTCAGCATCGTCGCCGCCGAAGCCAAGATGTTGAACGATTCAAAAACCTAAATCACAAGGGCCCAAGAACCTAAACTTAGAACGATCCGCATGCGCGGAATCCAAAGAGCCCCCTAACCACCTATGACCAAGAGGTCACCTGCAGAGGGGAGCCGCAGGAAGGGTTGGCTCTCTTGGTGGCGTCGGCTAGGGTTCCTGGTCGGTAACCAAAAAGGATGTGACGTGCGTACTTGCATTCGCTCTGACCGTAAAGATGTTGAAATACGACGAAAAAGGGTCCCCTCCCGGGGCTTTATAGTATAAATTCACGACATCAACAACATAGCACGAGTTCAAACAAAGAAAAGAACACAAGGTCCAAAGCAAAAATAGCAAGTAATAAGGTTTTTTTGGGGAACACCACATCACGCCCCAAGGAACTAAGAAGATGTTGAATTAATGGCTCAACTTTTTTTTATTCCAGCACTGGGTACACCTTTTTTAATGAGCTCACTCGTTCAAACTCCACCGGGAGCGGGGAGAATCGCCAAAATCAAGGTCTTCTGAGTATTACGGAAATTTTATTTAATTGGTAGGAGAATAAATGCATTTGACACCAAATAAGAACTCCAAACTAACGATCTGAAAATACCTTGGATCAAAACAAACTTAAATAGTTCTAAAAATACTTAAAGGGGCACCACCTAGATAACGAGAATGCCTTCTGGTCGTATCTTTAGCTCAGTTCCTATAAGCTGAAATTGGTTGAAATTGAGTCGTTTTCTTCATTTTGCTCGCCCGTCAAATCATTTAGGACGAATTGATTGTTTGCCTGAATGCCTTCGAGTGCCATCTCAACTTGCCTCATGGTAGGCCTCTCCTCTCCTCTTAACTTTATACATGATGCAGCGAGAGCAGCTACTTCATCAACTTCACTACCTCCCTCCTCTACAATTTGGGAATCTAGTATGACAACTAGTTTGCCTTCCTCTAGGAGTTCAACAAATTGTGCAACAATTCCATCACCTTCTGAAGTTCTATACATGTTTGGCATCTTCCTCGTAAGCAACTCCACTAGAAGGATTCCGAAGCTATAAACATCACTCTTTTCTGACAGCCGCCCGTGTAGTAGTACATAGGATCCAGATATCCTATAGTTCCTTGCACTGCTGTTGCTGTTCTACCAGTCTGATTGATAGGAATGTACCTTGAAGCTCCAAAGTCTGATAATTTTGCCGTGAAAGCATCATCAAGAAGTATGTTAGAAGATTTGATGTCTCTATGTATTACAGGAACTGAAACGGCAGAATGAAGGTAAGCAATAGCTCTTCCTACTTCACTTCCAATCCTTAGCCTGTCACTCCAAGATATTGATTTTGGTGATTCATTATGAAGATGATCACCAAGGGTTCCATTGGAAATGAACTCATATGCCAACAGTGGGACTTCTGTCTCGAGACAACAACCATGAAGCTTGACAATATTCCTATGGTTGATTTGTGATAGTATGGCAACCTCATTTATGAACTCATCAATTTCTCTCTGGACCATAATATTTGACTTTTTAATGGCCACAACATGTAAGTCTGACAATATTCCTTTGTAAACAGTACCATGCCCTCCACCACCGAGTTTGCGTGTTTGATCAAAATTGTTTGTGGCCTTCTCTATTTCTTTTAGAGGGATGATCATCCTCTCACCAATGTCAGACCTTTGAGATACTAGCTGTTGCAATAGCTGTCCATGATTTTGATTGAAGAACTTCCGTTTCAACTTTTCAGCCCTGTGATGCTTAAGCTTACGAACTATTAACAATCCACCCAGAAAGAAGAGAATGAGGGATGGGCCAAGTGCAACGGAGAGACCAATAACTAAACCTGCAAAAATCAATACATACATCTTTATTAATTTGATTTATAGCAGATTTGGCCAGAGGAATTATATCGTGGACTTGCTGCCAGTTAAATAAAAAAAATCTAATCCACTATAGGTGGGAATAAAAAAACTATAAGATTAATCATGACCATTGATCGGTTCCTTTCCATGGAGTAATTATAAGAATAATTGCTCATATACTTGCACATGTTAGGGAGAGGTGGTGGTCGCTGTCTGTGGTCCTATTTCTATGTGCCAGGGCCAAGTGTAAATTCTACTCCCTCCGTTCTAAGAGGGTGCTTGGATCCAAGGGACTTATTTTAGTCTGACTAAAAATAGTCTTTTTAAGAGATTAAAGTTCCAAGCACCCCTGACTAAAGAGGGACTAAAACTAGTCTTGGGAATAAAAAAAAATTAGTCAGAGGTACCCCTACTAAAATGTGGATTAGTCCTCTCTCTCCTCATTTAACTCCTCTCCTTTAACACAGGCGACTTCTGTATTGGAGGGTGTGAAGGATAATAAATGCTCATTAACTTGATTTTAGTCTCTTTAGTATTTGGATCCAAGCATGGGTGACACTAGCAAGTTTTAGTCCCACTGTTTTTAGTCATGGGACTAAAACGTATCCAAGCACCCTCTAAAATAGATGACCCAACTTTATACTAAAGTTAGTACAAATTGGATCATCTATTTTAGAACAAAGGGAGTACGGTAATTAATTTAATAATATGTATTTTCTGTGGGGGGCACATTTTTTAGTCCAAAACAAGCGCACAATATATTAGGGCACCTCTATTCGATGTGGTCTTGTGGCATCCATTAGGTTGGCTTGCGTTTCCTCCTCGCGCGCACCAGCAGTCGAATGATCCAAGCTTATTGCGACATTCGCCGAAACACCCATGGTCTTCTGGCTTCTTGCACTCGTCGATATCTATATATTGCAAAAGAATGGATTAATCAAACTTGACCAGTGATCTAAGAAATGATAATCGTGCGCATGCATGGCTATAACTACTCTTTCAGTTCCGAAATGCAAGGTGTGCTTGACATTTCAGTCCCAAAATACAGGATTTTCCCTATTTTTTCCGAATGGTTACAATTTTGACATACTTTTTATCTTCTACTCTCTCCGTTCCTAAATATAAGTCTGTCTAGAGATTGCATCATAGACTACATAGGGAACAAAATGGACGTCTATATACATCCGAATATACTCTTTATAGTGGAATCTCTAGACAGACTTATATTTAGGAACGGAGGGAGTAATATGCAGAAAAATATTTCAAAATGTACTAGTGGTAATGGTATGCCTGATTCTTTTTTGAAATCGAAATCGATCATATGTAGATAGGGTACCTACCTTGGCATCCATCAGTGATGTAAGGGTTTCCCTTGTATCCAGGATTGCAGTGACATCCGTAGTCTGCAAAGTGGGTGCTGCAGTTGGAGTTAGCGCTGACGGATGCGTTGCAGGATCCGTCGTTCCGGCATGCCCAGTCAATGGTCAGGGGAACCACAAGATTATTATCCACGACCTTGGGTCCGGAGCGACGTGCGCCCAGGTTCATAAGATGAATCGCCCGGCCCGAATCAAACCAACCTTCCTCGGCGATGAACGCGTACACGGGCAGATCGTCGTTTATGGTGCTGTTCCCGACGAGCCGCTTGAGCTCCACGTTATAGGACTCAAGGTACGAGAAGACCGGGGTAGTGCAGTAGCCGACCATGTAGTTGTTCCAGACGTCGTCGGCGGTGAGCACACCACTGCGGTTACAGTGAGAGCAGCAGCCGGTGGTGTAGCCGTAGGTGCTAGTACGAGACGTGAAGAGGAGCGTCACCTGCACGTTGCATCCCGTGACCACCAGCTCGGTGCTGGTCGGCAGGGAGTACTGACACTGCTTGTCACCGAAGCCCATAGACCTCATGGTGGCGTTGCTAGTGTTGTTGATAGCGCCGTTTCTGAAGATAGGGGGCATGAGGCCACGAACCTTCCTGTTTTCCAGCGAGATCTCCTTGACCTCGAAGACTCCATCCTTTCCCAGGAGGAGCCGTGTGCCTGGTCCGGAGCTGGTACCGGTACTGTTGCCGTGGACGCAGGCGAGCTTGAAGCCTGGCGCTGCGGAGCACCTGTCCGGGCCGAAGCCGAACGGGTACGGCACGCTCACGTCGCCGCACCGCGTTTCGCAGCCGCGTTTACCTATCGGCGCCGGTGCTGCTGCTCCGACGGCTACTACCACGAGTGCCGCTGCCGCCATCACCGCCACCATCGGGTATGACAACGCTAACAATGACATCGAGTATTGTGGCTACTGGCTACTGCTAATGTTCAGCGTGCACTGCTGGCTCTAGCTTTTCTGCTTGAGTTGCTAGACTACGAAACATCACCCGCTCTCGTCGAGTTTATAAGGACAACTTCACCCAGCGATCCTATTCTGTCCGGCCCTATCCGTTTATGGTAAAATAGACAAACCAGGCGGCCCAATGCGCACGGCCCGGACCTATCTTATCCGTTTTGTATCCGGGTCGATCCATTTCAAGCGCACACTTGCGCCGAGTTTGGGTCGCGACGGACGGCAAACGCACGCGTGCTCGTCCACGTCGGGGCCACGTGGCAGGCGGCCTCCTACCTCCCACCGCCCGACATAAATGCGCACAAGTGATCGACCCCACCTGTCATCCACCCAGCGAACGGTCGCTTTCCCTCTTAAATGGGAAAACCGTGGACCGGCCGTCGTCCACACTCCCCAGTCGGGCCCTTCCTGCCTCCTCGAGACCAACACCCCAAACCCTAGCCCTCTCCCCGTCCCCGATCTCGCCGGTCGGCCACCTCGCAGCCGCCATGGGCTTTTGGAACCACGGCCGCAAGGGGAAGCACGACCGCGAGGCGTCCTCGTCGTCGGGCCACCGCCGCGGCTCCGTGAAGGAGGAGCCCGCATCACTGCCACCGCGTCGGAGCCCCGCGCCTGCCACGTTCATCATCGGCCCTACGGCCGGCGGCGTGCGTGGTCGGCAGTACATCGAGGCGGATGTATGCCGCCGTTATTGGGAGACGAGGACGCCGCTCCCGTGGAGCGACGTGCACCTCCCCAGTAACTGGCACCTCTTCGCCGACCCGGGTGCCGATCCTGCCGGTGCCGCAGAGCGGCCGCGCGCGCAGCGAGTTGATCCAGCGCCGCCGCCGCCTCCTCCTCGACGACCTATACTACGACGACAGGTGCGCCCCTGACTCACCGCTCTGGGACAAGCGGCTCCAAGACGAGCATGACGTGTGGCGCATGTTGTTCTTCACCGGCACGTTGACGGGGCCGCGGTGGCCACGTCCAGAGCGCGCAGCACGTGCTCCCCAGGAGCGCGGCCTTACGCCCACGCCGCCGCCTTCACCCTCTTCGTCGCCACCACCACCTCCTCGCATGACAGCGGAGGAGGAGGCCCGGCTCATGGCGCACTCTCCGTGTCATGGAGGACTCCATGCACACGCACGATGAGCACCAATGGGAGGGCCTTGAGCAGATGATGGCCCTCTCTGCGGCCGATGATGTTGCCATCCCCGAGCTGGACATGGTGGCCGCGGAGGAGGCGTGGGAGGAGGAGCCGGTGGCCGCGGTCCACCCCGGCCTGGTGGGCCAGCAGTGGAGCTGGTCATGCACCACGCCGGAGATGGCCGACGCCATGGGGGGCGTGAACTGGTGCCCCACGCCGCTGTGGTCACCGGAGGGGGACGCGTCGCCATGGGAGGAGGTGGTGTAGGCCCCCGCCTTCCAGTCCGCCCCGACGTACCACGGACCGCCGGCTCACCTCTGGACGCCACCGGAGTACATGGACCTCGTCAGCGACGAAGACGACACTGGCGGCCACTAAGACGGCGACGGCAACGACCACGGCAGGAGCGCGCTGATGAGGATACAGACCTGGGGTAGGGTCATAGGCCTGACCTACACGTCCTACCCAAGGTCACTACCCCAGAAGATAAGAAGACCAAGAATCCACTCAATGATGTAATCACTCGACCGATATTCCTCACCTTCACTCGACCATATGGGAATCACTCGACTATATCGAAGACCAGGAGTCGGTAGAACGTACAACGGCCGGCCATTCACTCTTTAGTCTTCAGGAGCATTCAGAACATTTAAGACTGTCGTTACCTGTAACACCCCACTTTATGTACATTAAGCCCATTGTAATGGAGGTGGGCGGGGGTCCTGGCGCACTTTATATAAGCCACCCCCCTCCTCTGGGACAAGGGTTCGCACCCCCTGTAACACAACACACATAATCCAATCGACCGCCTCCGGGCACCGAGACGTAAGGCTGTTACTTCTTCCGAGAAGGGCCTGAACTCGTAAACCTCGTGTGTACATCTTTGCCATAGCTAAGATCTTGCCTCTCCATACCTACCCCCCCTTTCTACTGTCAGACTTAGAAACATGACAGTTGGCGCCCACCGTGGGGCAGGTGTCTTAGCGACTTATTGATGAAGTTGCAAGTTTTTCCGATCATCATCATGGTTTCCGGCGGCGAGATGGTTGAGGGCCGCGAGATCCGTCTCGGCGCGCTCGTTTTCGTCGCCGACGACTTGGCGTGGCTTCAGGAAGCTCCGCTCGATGTTGAGGCGCTCCCCATCCGAGGGGCGACGGACTTTCGCGCGTGCGTTTGCGGCGTCCTTCTCCGGCAGCCGTCGACTTAGTATCAGTCGGCTCCGACGATGTTTTCTCTCCCCGCTGTTTGCCGCCGCAAGCGGTCCGGTCAATCGCGGCTTCAGCGCTGGGTGAAACACGTGGTGGCTCAGCGTTCGACCACCCATCAAGTCGCAGCAATCGAGCCCGATGAAACCCTCCACGGCCTGTTCGATCTGTCGACTGGCTCCACGGAGACTGCATCCGAGTGTGATAGCAGCGATCCTGCAGCCGAAGTCCTGATGGTCGATGGTCCTCACAGGCCGCCCGGGTTCCGCCGCAAGGGCGACGGGGACGGAGGCGGCATTCTGTCGCATGTCCATGAGGAATACCGACCCGAGCCCCTCTCTTCACAGCAGAGAGAAGAACTTCGTCGCCGCAACATGGATGCACTCCACACGCCCATCGTTGGAGAAACCCCCGAGGCTCGAGCCTTGGAGGAGGCGCGCCTAGCTAACTTGGCTGAGCGCACAAGACTAGATAACCTTCAGCGTGCTCTCGACGAGCGCGCCCAGGAGCGCATCCATGAGTCTAGTCGACGATAGCTTTTTCCGCCTCCACCTAAGGTATACCGCACTCCGATTCAGAATCTCACAGTTGCGGCCCGAATAGCAGAGTCGATCCAACCTTCCCAATCAGAAGCTGGCAGAGGGTTGATGCAGATCCGGGCCCTGCTCAGGGCAGTAGGAGAGCAGAATACAACAGTATCTCAGTCGCGAAATAGGATTCACAACAGATCCGTTGCAGCGGACTCGGTTCAGTCGGCTCACAGCCCAAGATCGCCTCCGCAGCGTGAAAGGCCGTGGACAGTATGATCATCCACTCGACTGCGACAATCGTCGTCGGGGACCCACGCCTCCTCCGAGGAGTGCGTCGTATGTGCCTCGGCGGAACGACGACAGACGCCGTCACAGTGGTGAGCGCAGGATTTCAGTTGACCCAAGAGAACCGGGCTTCGACGCGAGGTCTATCCTCGTTCAAGGCCTGGTCGACCGGAACAGAGCACGCAGAGAAGACACTGGCAGAGATCGTCCAAGCAGCAGCCGGGTGCATGTTTCTGGTCCCGAGTGTTTTAGCAGAGCCATCAGGGCAGCAGTGATACCTCCCAACTTTAGGTTGGCGTCCGGGGTTAGTAAGTTCACCGGTGAATCCAAGCCTGAAACTTGGCTTGAGGATTACCGAGTGGCTGTGCAGATTGGAGGCGGCAACGACGAGATAGCGTTGAAGCATCTTCCTCTTATGATGGAAGGATCGGCCCGAGCGTGGCTGACCCAGTTGACTCCCGGCAGTATTCACAGTTGGGAAGAGCTATCTCGAGTGTTCGTGAGAACTTTTGAGGGCACGTGCAAGCAACCAGCAGGATTGCCCGAGTTGCAACATTGTGTGCAGAAACCGAATGAGACTTTGAGGGAGTTCATCCAGAGATGGTCCACTTTGCATCATACCGTCGAGAATGTTTCAGAGCATCTAGCTGTTTGTGCTTTCAATGAAGGTGTCAAATATAGGGAGCTGGTCTTGAAATTCGGTCGGACTGGGGATATGACTCTGACTCGAATGATGGAGATAGCCACCCGGTACGCTAACGGGGAAGAAGAGGATCGACTCCGTAGCGGAAAGAGCAAACCAGTCGGTCAAGAGGCCGGTGGAGGTAACTCCAATCGGAAACAGAGGCGCAAGGCCGAGCCAGCGGCACCTGGAGAGATTGCAGCAGTGAATCAAGGAAAGTTTAAGGGAAAATCTAAGGGGCCCTGGCCCCCTAAGAAGGTGAAAGATCAAGATGGTAATGACATGCTGGATCTGCCGTGTCACATCCACACAAAGAAAGATGAAGAAGGTAATCTGATTTACCCAAAACATACCACTCGGCAATGTCGACTCTTGATCCAACAGTTCCGGGAGAAACAACCCAATGAGAAGATGAAGGAGTCGGACAGAGATGAGGAGGAAGAGGAAGATGACGGTTACCCTAAGGTCAATTCCACTCTCATGATTTCTGCTGATATTGAGAGCAAGAGTCGGTTGAAGGTCATCAACAGAGAGGTGAATATGGTTGCTCCGGCGACGACGACCACGTACCTGAAATGGTCCCAGACAGCCATCACATTCGATCAGTCAGACCATCCTGCTCGCGTAGTCACCCCCGGGAGGCAAGCGCTGGTGGTCGACCCAGTGGTTGGTGGCACTCGACTGACTAAAGTGCTGATGGATGGAGGTAGCGGCCCGAATATCCTGTATGCTGAAACCTTGAAGGGGATGGGCATCCCGATGTCCAAGCTTAGCGAGAGCAACATGAGCTTTCACGGTGTTATCCCCGGAAAGAAGGCCGAGTCACTCGGTCAGATCACTCTCGACGTGGTTTTCGGTGACTCCAAACATTACCGGAAAGAAAAGTTGACATTTGAAGTCATGGATTTCCAGAGTGCTTATCACGCCATCCCTGTCGCCGCCCTGGCCTGTCGCCGCCCCCATCGCGCGTGGTCGTCGTCACCGTCCCCATCGCTGCCCCCTCGCCGCACGTGTTCGTCCCCATCATTGCGCACCGCCCTTGGCCCGTCCCCCTCGCGCGCCGTGCCCCGGCCCGTCCCCGTTACCGCCAACCATCACCTCGCATCGCTGAC